TATATCCCAAGAGAATTACAGATAAACAATTAATTTACATTTATAATTCAGTTCTCATCTCATGAATTAAATATCGTTCCCAATTGACATATTTCACTAAACAACAGTGCAAGCAAATTACTTCGCCATTTCTTGCTTTTATAAAGAAAAAACTCAAATTATCATGTGATACACCTTCTTCGATTTTGTATTCACATCTGTTTTATAACTTGACGGATCTCTATCAACGTTTGTTAACAACACATAGCGAAGCACTCCTCTACATGATGAATGACAACGGCCTTATGGGTGATATGATCAAAATTCAGATTCAACAATTACAACATAAGGAGTGGCTCCACAAATTACCCCTTATCGAATAGCCTTACGAAAATACCTCCAAGTTCAAAGACTGGCTCTCATGCCTACTTTGTAACTGAAAACAGTTAATTCTTAATTTTAATCTAGATGACATACAACCTAATCTTATTCTTGGTGGGAAGACGCTGATATCATCATTTATTCTAACCAATTATAGAACTATCGCCAATGACCTAAGAAGATATTCATTACTTTTTATGGAATAACTAGTAAACTCTGATTGTAATTAAATGTTCACGTTTTTTGATCACTGTATCAGATCCGACATTCTATACTCACTAAAACCTCCTAAATGATATAATGTACTACAAACTGCGCTTTTTAAGGATAACTTTTCTCGAGATACTGTTGCTCATTTTCAATATATTATATCATTGAATTATGACTTTCCGCCACCTATCAAAAATAAAAACAAAAATGTCTTTGTACTGGAATGACACATGGGTGATAATAAACCCTTTATTGGATAACTTTTGAAAGTCGATTCAGACTAAGTTCACGTAATGCACTTTATATCTACAGCCAGATGCAACTTTAAAACTCTTCTCAATGAATTCGCTAGATGCCACTATTACAACTCTTTGGCTTTTGTTTCCAAAGGATTCAGCAAGCAACGAAAAAAATCGCCTTGTTTCTTTTCAGTTCCGTCAGATTTGTGTTTTCAAATCCCCTTCTACCAAAACAAGTCAGAAACTGTTTCCTATTATGCTTGGTCTATTGCTCTGCTTAATGACCTCACTTTTTCAAAATTTGTACTTTATAATAAATCTCAACCCAATGATGTTAATATTCCTTTCACACCCTGCACACTTCTATTACTTATTGAAACATTCATACCTCTATCTCATACATCACAATTATTAGAACTCCGTGATCAATTTTCTTTTTCCACTATCTTAGAATTTTTTACTGACGGTTCTTTAGTCAATTTAGGTACTCCTTCTTTGAGAATGAGACTGGCTTGGATTCAAACTGCACCTGTTTCTCCTCTGCTGTCTTATACAACTGCTTTTACAGCTTCTTTTTCATCTTCTTCGTTAGCCGAACTGGTAGCCATCTTCATAGCTATTCTAGTTGCTTCCAAAGAATGGGGTATATAGTAATCATGTATGGTATGGATTTTCATGTATGGAATGTATAGTTTTACAATTGATGTAAAACCATACCAATATGAATTTTTAGATTAATAATGAAAGTAAAAAATAAACAATAAAAAAAAATAAAAATAAAATAAAAATAATAAAAAAAAAGCCTAAAAAGGGGGTCTGAGGGGTACTTGGTATCCCAGAAAATATTTTATATTAACCTATTTATTTTATTCATTCAAAAAAGCGGCTTCCACTTTATATACTTTAATCATTTATTATAGATAAATATTACGTATTATTTACAATTTCATAAAATTTCAAAAATAAATAAAAACAAATCTGATTTTAATGTAATATAATTTATTATACTTTAACAATATAAATTACAAATATAGATTATTTTTGCTAAAACTGAGATTGATCAGTCAGCCTAATATCTATAATCAAAAAGGAAATTAGATATTCATGAAAAATATAATATATATAAATACAAGCCGAATTTATTTTTTAAAAAAAAATTTCTTTTCTTTTTATTTAAAAATATAAAAGAATGGTTTGGTAATGAATATAATAAATGTTCAACTGCTTAAAAACTTCATAAAATATGATAAGATATCAAAGTTTATTCTTTTTAATTATTAACAGTTAAAATACTCTATAAATCTTTGGCGAATATATATTTAATAAGTCTTATATTTAATTTACAAACATTTTATAGACATTTTTAGAATTTACTATGATTAATTTAGTTAGTAAATAAAAGTTTTTTGAGAAATTTATAATTAAATTGATCACAAATTCATTATTTTAATTCACTGAATCTTTTTTTACTTAATATATATTCATATCGCTAAATCTTTTTACTTAATATATATTTATCATCAATCATATGATTATATTGTGCTATAATATCAATAATAAAATAAATTTTATTTAATATATTTAATAACCAAGTATGGATAATTTCTCAGTATAGATCTAATTTATACCGGTATGGATTTGTATCAATTGTAAAACCATACATTCCATACATGAAAATCCATACCATACATGTTTCTGAACTACCCAAAGAATATCATGTCTAAATATTTACAGATTCTGCCACAGTTATCTCACAATTCAACAAATATAAGCTGCTGTTAGCCATCTCCCCTTCACAAAGACCGTTCCTCAAAATCAGTAACTTACATATTTGGCATTGCCTATTTAAAGTCATCAAATCTTTCTCTCTCAAAATAACGATGCACAAAGTGAAAGCCTACTCTGGAATCTCTCTTAACGAAAAAGTAGATGCCTTTGCAAAAGCTGTACTTAACTCAAATGTTTTACACCTTATACCTTTAGATCAATCTCATCCTTCTCTGCATCTTCACAAATTGGCAATCACGACTCTTATAAGACCACTCATCAAAGACATTACTCGCTCTGTACATCTAATTTCTTTTCTGAATCTTGATGTCAATCACAAATATATTGACCTAAATATTAATTGGGTTGCAACAACATTCTATATTTCAGATAATGCTGCTCCCTCGTTTACTACATTTGAGATGTCTTCACTCAAAATGAAAAACTATAGCGCATTCTCGAGATGCTTCCTATAATAATAGTTCTTAACAAACGACACCCGTCACTTTATGATAACTCTTAGCTCTGTATCTGTTGCAACTCAGAACATGAAGATTTTAACCACATTTGGACTTGTTCATCAAGAAAATCAGTGATGCTTCAACTTATTAACGAGGTGAAACTTTACTTATCCGACGCATTACAACTCAATATCATGGTATCTGTAGAAATATTAGATATTTGGTCTTTATTGTCAGCAAATACTTTCACTTTCGTGGACCTGATCAAAGGAATTATTCCTTCTGAATTGTATAACTTCGTATACTCGAATCTCAACTCAAAGGATTCCACATTGGCGGCAATCTCAAACTTTATGCATTTTATCTTTACCTGAACTCAATCCATTTGGATGAATAGATGCTCCGCTTTCAAAGACTTTGAAAAATCACATGATTTAACAGATATACTTAAACGTGATCATACAGAGGCATCTGGTTACCAGTTTCGCTCATCATATGCTAACTTTTCTTTCACTGATTTAATTTCTAAGATGATCCGCTTAGGATCGCATTGGTCAAATTTTTGGTGCAGTAGATACTAAGCCCTTTCCTTTTTCTGGTCAGTTTACTGGAAGGTGATGATGTAAAGTTTTTATTTTATATTTGATTCTAAGAAAGTGCAGGGTCGGTTTTGATTTAGGATAGTATTTTTTATTATTTTAGATAGAGATTTTCATAACTTTTATTTTATGTAATTTTTTATATTTTATATTATCAATAAAGATTTTGCAAAACTACCGCACTTTAAAAATAAAAAAAAATAAAAATAAAAATTGATAAGTCAATATAATAATTATATATATATAACATTATAATAATTATTTTTATAAATATTAAATTATTTTAAAAATAATATAATTATAAAATATTTAAATTTTGCTATTAAAATTATATTTCAAAGTATTATTACACTAATTTAAAACACTTTATTAAAACTATACTCTGAAACGTTATTACACTAATTTGATAACACTTGAAATTTTGTTATTGTAATATCAATTTTTAATTTTACCAATTCGTAACACTTGAGATTTTGCTATTAAAATCATATGTTATATTAATTTTATAACACTTGAGATTATGCAGTAATAAACTAAAAAGTTATCTTATAGGTCACATGATTTTTACCTTATCACAAAATCTATCCAATCAGCTAAAATTGGCAGATCCTCAAAATCTATCCAATCAACCAAAACTGGCAGATCTGTGAAAAATGCCAAATCTGCCAGATCTGCCAGATTGACTAAATCTGCCATATATGTAATATATTTCAGGTATATGATGAAAGACCAATTATTACATTTCTTATTTTTATTTATATTTTATTATTATTATTTTATTTCTTATAAATAGGATAGCTTTAGAACTTTAATAACATAGGAATTTTTAAGTAGAGAATTACTTTTAGTACTATCACCAATAAGATAAATACTAAACACATTTGTATATAAACAAATACACTTGTAATAATTCTTTTCATTAATAAAACTCTAAATTACTTAACCCATAAATCATACTTTGACTTGAAATATATTTGCATAAATTGTATTATAAAGTTTTAAAGCTAAATCCTTTATTAATCTTGCGTTAATACTAATTTTTAGTCATTAGTATCATAAGATAATACTGCTATTAGAACCACACTCTAAAATATTATTACACTAACTTTTTAATACTTGAAATTTTACCATTGTAATATTAATTTTAGCAATTTGTAACACTTGAGATTATGCTATTAGAATTATACTTTGAAGCATCATTACACTAATTTATTAATAGAAATATAACATTATTATTAAAATACTGTTTTAATGTTTTTTTGCCTATTGCAGCTGCTTCTTCTGATGTACTTCTGTAAGTAAAGGTTTAGAAATTTCATTAGTAAACTTACCTTCAGATTCACGAAGACATCATCTGACAGTCTCTACACTAATCTTAACATCATGTTCTTCCATATTTTTTTGTATTTGAGTGGCTGTAATATTATTTCTTTCTCTGTCATCTTTGTAATTTGTTTATCTTGCTTGGTAGTTGTTATACGAGGCTGACCTAGTCTTTCTGCAGTACTTAGGTCACGATTTTCATGATATTTTTTAACTCCAAAAATAGCTGTAGATTTACAACAGTGGACTACTTTAGCTATTTGTCCAAAACTGAACCTTGGATCAGCTGGATATTCACATAGAAATACAATTTCATAGCGTTTTTTAAGAGAAAGCTCCATTTTTCAAGGTGCAAGTTTGATGATCATCCAATTTTTTAAAAATAAGCCATTGATCTCTATAAAAATACTGGCAATTAGGTATCATGTTACACTATATATTCAGAAATTTTGAAGGATGATTATATAATAATTTTTGCCAATCACAACCGGTCAGATACTTATGATTGCTACTGTAGAAAATGCAAGATATATAATATAATATTTATCTTGAAAAAAATTTTATCATTTTATTTGCTCTTTGAAGATATTAGTTTTTATATTTTAATTATCAAAAAAATTTATAAAAAGATCATTTTTAAATATTAAATAATCTATATTTCAATAAAAAATAATTTATTTTATAATTTCATATTAAATATTAAATAAAATAAATAAAAAATAAAATTTTATCATTACAAAAAAATATCAATAGCTCTATAAATATTCAAGCTATTTTAATATCAATTAATATCTTACTTATTAAATGATTTTTTCTGATCTCTTTTAAAACAAATTATATTTAACTAAACTGCTGTTATTACGTTAAAATTTGAAAAAAAACATAGTACTGTAATTTCATTAAAAAAAAAATACTATCTTATCAAAAAATGAAATTATATAAAAAAAATGGTTAATAGTATTATTATGTTAAAATACATTAATTTCAAATAATTTTCTATACTTGAACAAATTATTAAGAATACTATTTAAGATATATAAGATACAAAATAAAAGAAAGGAAAGAAAAAAGATGACTATATATAATATATAAATAATAAATAAAAAATAAATAAGTAACATAAGGAGAATAGAATAATATTATAAACCTCCTAAAACAGATTAAGATTTCCCTTATTTTAAAAGTTTTTTTTTACTTTTAATTTTAAATAAAAACTTATATGCAAAAGTTTCAAGTTAAATTTATTTTTTTTTATAAAGTAAATATAAATTTTATAAAAGTTTTTAATAATAAAACTAGAATTAGCAGTCTTACTTAATAGTACAAATTCAGTTAACTTAATCAATAATAGATCTTTTATATTGAATGATCTGTGACTTAATTGGTACTAATTACTAACCTTCACTTGTAGTATTAGTTTAGCATAATATTATTTGTTTATTTAATTATTTGTAATATTAAATATTTAATGATTAATAATAAAAATATATAGGAGCTGTACTATTAAAAATGGGTTATGAGAATCTTTTAACAAAAAATGAGATTTTTGATTCATATTATAGTATATTAAATGAACTTTATTTGGTTAAATATTTAAAGGCTATTAGCTTATTAACAAAGCAAGCAATTAGGCTGATAAAAATGCTTAAAATTTCATGTAATATTGATCGTAAAATCTAAAATTAGAATTTAGAAATGATTGACATTAATTTTAGAAATGATCGATATATATTAAAATTAAATGTAATAGTTTATAGTTTTAAATTTTTTAAAAAATTTATATTTTTATACATATAAACTTTCTTTTATGAGGGTCTGGAGGTCTGGGGGGTATATAAATATAAAATAATAATAAATAAAATAATAATAATAAATATTAAGATACAAAGCAATAAATACCTTTATGTGAATTATCTATATATTGCCTAATTTATTTATGCAAATATTTTCTTCTTTCATTTGACATTGTTGCTACTTCTAAAATATTTAATTGTTTATGTATATTAAAGTCCTTATTATTTAAAAGATTAAAAAAACTTCATTACCACTAGATTTTATTGAACAATAAACTTTTCCTAAATCTTGAGATAACTTACAATCCCTGATGAAAAATAATGGATACAATTTTAAATGATATGTAAAATCTTTATCATTTAAATACAATTTTTTTAATTAATTGCTGATACTAACGAAGCAATTTTTATTAATTAATTAATATTTTATATGACTTTCTTCTGCATTAATACATGTTTTAATCCAGTATAGCATGCTATCATACATCTAAGTAACATACTATTATCAAGCTTGTCTCTTTCCTGCTAGGTTGTGATAAGAAATATATCGAATGATTTATAGTTACATTGCCAGTTTTATATAGTAAACTGACATATTAGTCATATGTGCATAAAGGAATGCATAATCATTGTGAAATTTCCTTTACATTATGCACATTTTGGTTCTAAAGTGTTAATACCGAGTTTTGTTTTATTTCAAGGAAGCTTAGTATAGTTATGAGGATGAAATCAAAATCAAAATAATAATAAAAACAAATTTGTCTTACCCTTTTAAATTGGAATTCCATTGTCCGATTTGATTATATAAACTATGGCTTAAATAAGAAAACTGAATACGTCACAACCTAAAATTAATACGGTATTACTACTATTATTCTTTTCACTAGGACTGTACTAAAATAAAAGTGATAGTAATCTTTTATATGAGGGCAATTTATAAAATTTTATGAAAATAATCCTTGAAAATCATACTATTTTCATCTATCTCCATTATTATATATATTCCTATATTAGCATTTGCAGATTTATTTATAATTTTTTTCAACATAATCTATAGTATTAATTCTATTATCTCTAAAAGTTTTTTTGATTTTCCAAAAAATGAATCACAAATAAATTTTGTATAAATAGTATCATAAAATTAATAGTAATATTATCAAAGTTACCCATCATACATAACCAACTCCAAAAAATAATGATAAATTATTTTTATTTTGTGTACTATAATTATCACAGGTTATTTGTAAATTTTTTGCTTTAGGATTATTTTTAATAAATTTTTTAATTGCTTGATAAACCATATTCAATGTTGTATTTGCTTCTTTGCCTATACCTTTTGGAAATTCATCCTTAAAAATTATAAAATTTATTTGCTAATTTTCTTTTTCAGTATAAAAATGCAAAATAAATGAATTACATAAGCACTTTTAAAGTAAATTGATCCTACTTGTTGTGGTGAATAAGGACTTGATATATGTTGAGCCTAATCATAACAAATATGGTTTGTTAATTTATTTATTTCTAATATTATTATTATAATGGTTTCTTTCAAAATCAGTAGTATTTCGATGTTTTTCATATTTTGTCTAATTTTTATAAATTCATCATAATTATTTTTAGAAGTTTGTATTTGTTTTCTAAAATCTTTACAAACTTCACATAGATCAGATCCTGATAATTAAAACTTAATATTTGATATAATACTATACCAAATACATTTAAATGTATTATAAGAAATTACTTTTTCATCTTTATCATGCTCAATATAAAAATTAATTTTATATTTGTTATAAATTGATGTAAAATTTTCTTCACATGATAAATAAATAAAATTTTCATTATCATTTTGATATCTCATAGAAGAAGATAAACTATTAATATTTGTATATTTTATTAAATATTCTTTAATTTTTGAAGTAAGTTCTAAATCAAGATAAACTTTAGAATCTCTTTTTTTAGTATATCTAGTATTTTTATGAATTCTTTCTTTTAAACCATCTGTTTGAAAATGGGTTTAAATTGATAAAAATACAAATTCAAATATTTCATATAATTTTAAATAAGTAGGTTTACATAAGGGTAAAGATGAATTAAAATTATATTTATAATGATGCCTTTATAGATTATTATTATTATTTTTTTCATTAGTAAATTCAAAAGACATTAATTGTGATTTTATAAAATGTTCTAATTCAACATTTTCTAATCTTTTTAATTCAAAATGTCTTTCAAAAAATTGTTTAAAACTTACATTTTCAAAACAAGTTCTAATATCTTTTTATTTTTAGTACAATGATATGTACAATTTTCATTTTCTTTAAAAAATACCATTAATTTATATATAAATATAGTATCTAAAACTAATTTATTTTCTTCATATTCTTCTAAATCTAATTCAATTAAATTATATATAAGTTTAGGTTGAATTAAATTAGTAGACATTTGTGAATCACCATGAGAAATTTTTAAGCTAAAAGAAAACATTATTTTTTTAAAAATATAAAAGTAGATAAATAAAAATTCTAAAGATTAAATTTTGAAATTTATAGAAAAATTGAATCTTAAATATTAATAAAAAATTGTATAAAATAATTTAATTTTAAAGTTTTAAAAATTCATTTTTTTGAATTTAATAAATTATAATATAAAATTTATTTTTTTAATAATTTAATTAAAAATGTAATTATTAAATAAAATAATTGAAGTTTAAAATAATTTTAATAAAAACAATTAAACTTTTTTAATAATTTTAAATATAAAAAATAATTGTTGTTTTTACAGATGAGAGTACATTTCAACTATATACATCAAAAAAAAAAGGTTTGATAGTTTGTGGAAGAAAAAAAGTGTTTCGTTTTGTCAAGCATCCACCAAAAGTTCATGTTTGGGGGTATTTTTCTTCTTCAGGATTTGGTAAGTTGTATAGCTTTCAAAGGAACATTAATGCTAATTTTATGTGTACTATTTATGAGCAGGGTTTTCTGGCTTCCACTTCTAAGCTTTTTGGAAATGGTAATATAGGCTGGATCTTGCAAAAGGATAATGACCCGAAACACTAGTCAAAAATTGCAAAGAAATGGAAGGAAGAAAATGGTATTAAGAAACTTCCTTAGCCATCAATGTCTCCAGATCAAAATTCTATAGAAAATGTGTAGCGGTTAATGAAAATTAATATACAAAAAAAAATCTGGTCAGTTAGAGGTTTGAATGGAGAATTGACAAAAGAATGGAATCGACTCCCACCTGAGCTTGCCGTGAAATTGGTAGATAGCATAAATCATCATATAACTGCCCTTATAGATTCTAATGGGATTTTACTATGTATTAAAAAAAGTTTGTTTAGTATTGTATTTTTAAATTAAAAAAATTTTTTGATTTGCTTACCTGTATGAGGAGTTAAAGGTGATTGGATACTTATGACTGTTACTGTAAGTAAATTATATGTAAAAGTTTATATTTGGAATATAGGTTAAGGATTCTTTTAAAAAATTTTACAATTTAATTAAACCATATGATAATGATCATCTATATTTTCTTTAACAACACAGATCATTTCTCCAATTTTGAATAATAAATAGTATTACATATGAAATTCATGTTTTTTTACTTCATCGATAAGTAAGCTATATAATTTTATTATATATTTTTAAGATATTTGATATGATTGTTCATTGAGTTTGCAACTATTAATTTATTAACTTAAAAACTCAAATAATCCCATTAACTTTTAGTGGATCTTATTTGAAAAACAGGCAATTTTGCTTTTAACTTATAAATCCTTTACAATATTTTTTTTTATATTAAAAATAAATATAAACCTTTTTTTTATAAAAAAACAAAGTAGTATTAAACAAATAGTATTCTTGAATAAATTTCAACTTTGTATTAATAAGTTAAAGATTCACTTATAAAGAAAAGATATGATAAAGCTTATCATTTATTTTAAAAATTTAAAAGGTTTTAATAATAATTCAAAGATATATCTATTAAAAATAATATTTGCTTAATATATAATTTTTTTTATTTGTTTTTATGTTTTATTTTGAATATATTATAATACATTGAATTAATATTACAGGTTAATTTTTGTTACTTAGATTTTTGAAACTCCAATACTTTTTTGTTTTTTACTTGGATTGTATAGTAGAAAAAATTTTAATTAGAATTTCTTCTAGTTTTTTTTATATGTAAAAAATAATCAACTCTAATATTATTAAACAAACTTCTTACTTAACTTTAGAAGGTATTCCACTAATCATAAAAGTATGGCATCAACAAAAAAAATAAAAATCGCATGTCATATAGCATAATATGAAAAAATATTCTTCAAAGTTGGAAGATACTAATTTCTTCTACTAATGAAAAAATTGAATTAATATTAGTGTTTTTATAATGTATGAAAAGAAAGAAAATTAAAGACTAAAAACTTTTATTAAAGTAAAAATAAAAATCTTATTTTATTATAAAAAATATTTTACATAAAACTGAAAACCCACCTTTGTAACCTAAGAAATTATTTTTTCTCTTGTAAACTTACATATATTTTTATTGTCAAAACTATGTATTTGTCCATATTTTTAAAAGGATTTTAAAAAATACCTTAATTTCAATACGAAACTCATGTATATGTTGGGGGAAAAAAAATTACAAACACGAAATATTGATTGAACCTGATAATGCATTGATATACTAAATTTAATTTCTTTGTTTTATAAAGAAAGAAACAAACATAAAATGAATTGCGATATGGTTACACAAATTTCAGAAAATGATTTTCATAATGAGCTGCGATTGTTAATGTTGCGGTTTTCGGTTTTTTATTACAACCGAATATCCGAATCGGTTTTATCTCCATCATCTAATTCGTAACCGTTACTTAGCAATCGTTAAAAAGAATATGATTTCAATTCTATTCTTCATCATCCTGAAAAAAAAATATAGTATGAAAATTGTCAAAGTTTGAAGTAGCATGTTCAAAATGAATCCTAAATCGGAATTAGAAAATCGTTTCGCCAAATGTGTATTTATCACAATGAGCATTTCGGATAATATCCCAGATGGTATGTCCTAAATTATCATTTAGTATATTGCAAATGACCACTTAGGATTGTCCCCAAAAAAGACCACTTCAAACCATCACGAATTACCATTTCGGATAAATGACCTCTTCTTCAAACCGTTCAAACCGTTCAAAATGACCATAGATAAATAGGAAATTAAGGTTATTTAAAGTAACATGATATGTTCAAATTTCTAATTAAGATGCCCGATATTGGCCATTTGGATCACTCGAGAAGTCTGTCTTTTGGAGCATAAAAAGACATAATGATCATCCTAAGTAATCATTAGGATATTCGAATAGTGATTTATTTGGGATATCTGAAGTCATTTTGAATATCGAAATGTTCATTTAAGAAAATTGCAAGCTCTCAATCGTTATATCCAAAATGCGAATTCCGATTTGGGACTTCCGAAATGATTAGCTAGCATATTTCTAAATGTAAACTAACATGTGGAATCACAGACCTAAAGGATTAAGATGGCATGAATGTAACACCAATTTAACACATCTTTCTTGTAATCTTTTGACATCGGGGTATTAAATAAAAATTTATAAGAAATTTTCCGATAATTAACGTTATCTTTTTCGAAATATTTTGGCCTTATGTTTTGGTCATTTATAAGGATTCAAAAATACCTTACATTGATACTTTTCCAAAAGATTCCTTTATAAGAGAATGAAGGAAAAAAAAAGTAAAATACTTTTTTTTTTTGACATGATTTTTTTTTTAAAATAATACGGTCGAATCGAATTGAATTTTGACAACCTCTTTCAGGGATAATAATGTATATGTTTTTAACTTTATTGTCTTGATGATCGGACTTGCGGTTAAATCCTTTTCCGGATTAACATTTACCTAAAACAAAAGTCTTTCGTTTTTATAATAAAGGGATTACTTAGTTGAAACCCATTTTATAATTTGAATATAGATGTCAATTAATAAGTTGACAAAATTTGGGATTACCCTTTGGGAATCTAATCATCGTTCCCATTTATAATGAATGTTATTTAGAGATAAAATTTACCGAATCAAGATAGAGATCAATGACTATTATTTTCAATATGTTATTTTTGTAATTCGAGAAAGCTTATAAATAGCTTTCAAAATTTTTTAATCCCAACCACAAAGTTTATTCCTTTATTTATTCGTATTCTTCTTAATAGTCTTATTATTAAAAAAAAAAAGAATGAAACATATTTTCGAAATATCTCTTTATTTTCTCGCATTATCATTTTTGACCGTTACAACTAATGCACAATCAAAAGAATTAGAAGGAAATTGGCCAGCTCTTGATAAGCCTCCACCAACTAATGAATCTTGGACTTCTTTAGTTGATATGTTAAATGTTCCTAATGTTCCGTTATCTAAAGACGAAAATGATTGTGGCGCAAATGACGCAAATGATGAATTTTGTAAATGGAGTTGTACTCAATGCACTCGTAATGTATCCGACATAGTTGTCTGTCCCAATAAATCAGGTTAGCCTTTTTCCTTATATGATTGGCTCAAAAAGTTTCACCTTATAACTTATTTTTTTTTTGATTATTTGTAATAGATTGGGGTCTCACCTTCGATGATGGGCCAACGTAAGTTAATTAAGATCATAAACGCGCATTTATTTCATGAACCCTTTGTTCTAATTTTTTTTTATTCTTTTTTTCCAGAGATTATACGGATGCTTTATTAGATTATTTGGCTTCAAAAGATGTTAAATTAACATTTTTCGTTGTCGGTTCACGCGTGAAAGAAAATCCACAAACCTTGCTAAAAGCATTCAAAGCTGGTAAGTTTAACGAATCCTCAACTTACTTTTGTTTATGTATTAATTATTAATTATATTCATATATGTACTTTTATTAGGACATCAAATTGGAGTACACACTTGGTCCCATAGCTTGCTTACCACACAAACCAATGAGCAAATCATAGCAGAAATCAAATGGACAGAAAAAGCGATAAAACAAGCCGTGGGTTATACACCAAAATATATGCGACCACCTTTAGGAAACATTGATGATCGTGTTAGAGCAATCGTAACTCAACTCGGTTATAAAATTGTTATTTGGGATAAAGATACGACTGATTATGATGCAGATAAAAAATATTTTAAAGCCGAATGGATTGAAGGAAATTTTACTAATTGGGTTAAGGAAACTTCTACAACTGGACATATATCGTTAGAACATGATTTATATCAAGCAAGCGCTGGTAGAGCTGAGTATGTTGTACCGATTGTACAAGGTGCGGGATTTAATATTAAACCCGTAGCTGTTTGTTTAGATGATCCAAATCCCTACGTTGAAGAATATAGTTTGACTACAAACAATACTGTGGCTAAAACTCCAACGGTTGAAACTTCAGCGACCGTAACCTCAAAAAATGATGTCCCAACCGAATCTCCTTCAAGTGCTATTTCATTAACGAAAAATTATAATTTATATTTATTTATATTTTTATTTATAGGATCTTTTATTTTGTATTTTATTTAAGTTTAGAATTTATAATACATTTTTAGAATATTGATTTTTACGATTACTGTTGAAAAAATAAGTGAGGGGAGTAATAATAAGATCCCTAATAATGAAAAAATTTATATCTCTAGAATTTAATTTAATAATTTAAATAAATTAAAGACCTTTACTCACTAAAAAGTTTTAATTTCTGCTAGAATCTTCTAAGATTTTCTATCAAGTAAAGCAAACTTTATTCGTCAAGCTGAAACTCTAATCCAAATTTGTAATGCAATTGCGCTAAAATATATAGATATTTTTTATGCCTATTTAGCTCCTTTTAAATATGGTACTTTTTACTACAGTTTCAAAAATCAGTGTTTATGTTTCACAAACGTGAGCTGTCATATGGCATACTTACAAACGATCAGATCATGAGAGTTAACTTTTCATGCAGAATTTCTAATTATAAAACGAATTAATTTTTACCAGTGTTTCGACTTCGTCATTTGTTTAAAGCTTTCGTCTTATCAATTTTGTGTAACCGATTTTTGACTAATGATCCTAAAGTTAATAATATCTTAAATATGTCTTTTGCTTTCAATTTTACGCGATTAAACTTTATTTACCATTTATATCAAAAGATAATACTTATTTAACATCAGATATGTATCAAAACTACTATCTATGGGTTGAATGTTATGTTTGGAAAAGTATAAAATGGTTTAGTTGCCGAATTAATAACTATATTATAAAACACTTATTGCAGTCTTTTTTTATTGATATGGGTGGTATGCTATTAAAATTGAGGTACGAGACATAGTAAATCATATGATCCGTACCTCAATTTTAATCACTACCCATTTATTGATGCCCCATCTACTTTTGAATTTGCTAATAACGGGCAAATAAAGATAATAAAAAAAATTTTAGCGGAAACCAGAGACTTCTTGTTCGGGTAACATGTAATAAATAAAGCAAAGAATAACTTAATATAATTAATACTGTAATATTTTTTAAACTTTTGTGTTTAAACTTTGTAATTCTTAATGGAAGGCTTCTTGAATGTTATAATTAAAAACTAGAATTGCGATTTTTGTTCCCAAATCAATTTTTTGATCTATTCCTTTGCATTATAAAGTCTTTAATTTATAAAATAAAAAATTTCAATGCATTTGGTATGGTATTCATCACTCCGGATAAAAAAAATTATTGCCGTTATTAAAAATTATAATTATTTTTGTATTACTAATTTAACAAAAAATATATCCATTATTAAAAATTTCTCATGAAAATTTTTTTCTTCCCAACTTTTTTACTCCATAAACCATAACTCATAACCTAAATAATAATTTGTGTTTTAGTAGAGCTTTTATATATAAAAATATTTTAAAGTTACAAATAAGTGTTACGACTCCACTTGCGATTACACGTCGAGTACAAATTATAGGATAATTCCATGCGAAATTAAACTATTATTATAGCATAATTTCTGTTTAAAATATTTTAATTAGTTTTTTATGATAAATACATTTTTTTAAAAAAAAAGAAATACTTATTATGTTTACTTGTCTAATTTATATAATAACTTATTATAACTTGAATTCTAATATTTTAGGAAATAAAATTATTTGATGGCTTTTTTAAAAATGTATTTTTTAATCATTAGTATATAATAATTGTTTTATTGAATTAACCAAATAATTATTAGTGTTGTTAGCCGGAGGGCTGGAAGTAAAACTTAGACGATATAATTCAGTCCTTCGAATTAATCACAATAACTTTATCACAATCACGCCTGTATGAAGACACGGCAAAAGGTAATAGTAAATGAATAACAAATATCTTTATTGAACTCTTGGTTTATTCACAAAACCCTATCTCGAGTTATCTTTCAACTCAAGGGAAAATACATGCTATTTATATAAAATAAACTAATAGTAATATAATATGATAAATATATCTAATATAATAAATATAACTAATATGATAAATATAATAAATAAAATAAATCTATCAAATATAACAAATTTAATAAAGTTAATAAATATAACAAATATAATTAATATGTTAAATATGGATCATTGGTCAAATATGACCAATCTGTCATATTTGTCAAATAAGTTAACTATAAATTTGAAGATCCATTTTTGATGATCTTTTAATAATGCAACTAATAGTATCTGGTTTTTTTTATTAATAATTTGCAAGAAAAGATTATTTTCTTTGTCAATTTATTACATAATTTATTGTTTTCTTTAATAAAGTTATTTGTAATTAATTTTAGCATTTTGTTTTGTATTCCTTGGTTTCATTATGTAAAATTTTTTTTTTTGAAGTATTGTGTGTTTTATGATAATTATTTACATTTTTAAAGGAATCATATAAATTAAAAGTTATAAAAAATAAAATTTAATGGAATATGTTTATTGAAGTAAATATAGACAAAAAATATAAAAAAAAAATTTATCTTTATAAAATAAAATTTATACATTTATTTATTGCATCAATAGTAAAAATTATATGCTTGTAACATTTAAAATGGATACAATTTTGAGAAAATTTTAAGACAATAACATCAATTGCTTACTTGAAAAGAAAGAATTGTGATTGTTTTTGATATAATTAAAGTTCTTTTTAGAATTCTTAAAGAAAATTTAATACATAGGGATCTGTATTCTGAAAATATATTATATTACTTTATAACTTATAAATGTGATTTTGGATTCAGTAGTCCTATTAATAAACATTTAAATGGTATTTACAGAAATCTTCCTTATATAGATAGCATCTAAAGTTCTTTTAAAAAAGAATATACATTTGCTTTAGATATTTATAGTATTAGAATGCTTAAAGTGGCAAATTTTTCTGGATAACTACCTTTACTAAATTTGATCATTTTGAATTTGCATAAAAAAAATATTAAATAATTCAATAAGATTAACTATAGTATCAAAAACTCCATTAGCATATAGGAATTAATAGAATAATATTGGGATACTTATCCATTAAGAAGTTTTAATATTAATACTCTTTTTTATAAAATGTAAAAAATTAAAAAATTATATTTTAATAAATTAATTAATAATAGAAATTTATTTAAAAAATACTTTAATTTTAAATAAATTATATGCAAATAAGATAATTTAAATGAATATAATTATTTAAATAGAAAATTGAGTTTAGATACAAATTCTTCAATTAGAATATTTTTTACAAGAAAATTTGATTATAAGTAATACAATAAAAGATATATTTTTAGTCTTTTATAAATGTTTTAATTTAAAAGGAAATTTATATAAATCAAAAATGTTAATTGATTTTAATAGAAAAACAAGAAGATATTTATTTAATTTTAAATTTAAAGTATTTGAATACTATATATACTAAATTAAACTTTTTAATCTTACTAACATTTTATAGTAAAATTATAATTTTGATATTATAGATATTAGTAAATATTTATTTAAAACTTTAAAAAATAATATTTAAAATAATTTTTTAAATAATTTTTTTATTTAATTAGTAACTTTGATAAAATCTTTAAATAATTTACTTATTTTTGAAAGTTTTTTTATTATTGTATTTTAAGGTAATTTATTAATTATTTAATTTTAAAAATTAGTATGTGAAAAATATTAATAAATTTATTTGATAAATTAGATTATAATAAAAAATTATTTATAAACTAAAAAATCAGTAGAAGATATAAGTTAGAATCAGATTTATTTTTTATATCCAGATTTATTTATTTTCAAAAATTAGAACTGGATTTAATCTGAATTTATTATATATAGTTCCTTCAGATTCAATTCAGATTATTATATCTAATTTATTGTAATCGAAAAAGCCTTTAATTTCTAGCATTACTAGAAGAGTATACATTTTTCATAATGCTTTGTATACAAATATTTAAAGTTTTTTGTGAAAAAAATCTTATGCAATTAATCTGGTTATAATAATAAAAAAAATGATACATTTGATTGCATTCTTTTCTTTTATTTAGGATACTTTTCAGGCTGTGATACATAAAAAAGTTTTTTAATAATTTTTTTTATTTATTTTATTTATATTTTTTATTATATTTTGTTACTCATTTTTTTAGGCGATTGAATTACTGCGGGCTGTAATTATCGAAAGATCACACAGTATATATTTTTTATTTTCAGTTTTCAATTTTTCAATTTTTTTTTAATTTTTAGTTCGATCGCTTTAAGCTACTATTAATATTTTTATAAAGATGTAATACATGAACTGGAAGAAATTGAAAAAACTTGCAAAATTTACAAGAATTAGAAATCAAAAATCTTCACTTAAAGAGAATGATATCAATAAATTAAAAAATTTTTAGTGTCAAATAAAAATCATCACTTATTACGTCTACATAATTTATTAGTGTAATATTTGTAATTAAATTCAAATTTAAGTACAGTTTATAATGATAATATAATAAATTAAAATTACAAACAAAAATATTAATAAGCATTATTATTATTTTCGTTTTGAGTTTCTAAATTAAGAACTTACTCTTAGATACAAACTTTTAGCTAATATTAATAAATTGTTTTTAGTTAATTATGATGAGCATTATATGATTTGTCAAAGATACTGAAGGGTTTAAATAAAGCTGAATATAATAAATCTGGAGGTTTAAATATATTCAGATATAATAAATCTGATTTTTCTGTTAGACAAATTTTGTATCCAATTTTAAATCTAAACCAGGAAAAACTGGATTTAAATTTAAAGGTCAAATTCAGTTCCATTCTCTAGTATAAGACTCTAAGAATAATAAATAAAAATAATATTAATTACAATTTTTTTTTTAAATATATCATTTTTATAGATATAATCATTCAAATCTTCATTTAAAAGATAAAAATAAATTAGAAATATACTAATTATTTACTAATTTATATAAGTAATAAATTTATTAATTTCTTAAAAATATAATTAAAATATATAATATCAGTTATAAAATATTACTAAAAAGAATTACTATTACTAAGAAATGAATTTAATTTTATCAATATTTTATA